TTCCCTAATCATCATAAAATAAAATGTCCCTATAAACCTACTGTTCGCGAAAATATGAATTGGCATAGTTTACACAGCCGTCTTTACAGCCGAGAGGCACATATCCACAAGTATAACAGACAAATCGTAATAAGAAGAACAGATGAAAAAGGAAGTCCGCGCCAACGAGTTTTATTGCCTGCGTGGATTCCTTCCTTTCCCTCTGTCCCCACGTCTGCGTTTAGCGCTAAATGCTCCTTTCCCCCTTTCGAATTAAACTGCAGGCTGAGCCGCTGGAACAGGCTGCGCTGCTGGAACAGGCTGGGGCGCCGGAGCAGGCTGAGCCGCTGGCGCAGGCTGCTCTTGAGGAATAGCGTTCCCTGCCTTGGCGTTAGCGTCCGCGATCTCCCTCTGCGCCGTGGCGAGCTGTTCGCTGAGGTCCTTCCTGGTGGCCTCGAGGGCTCCTACCTGCTGCTGCGCCGACTGGAGCTTCCCCTCAAGCTGCTTCCCGTCCTCCGTCAGCTGGTTGATCCTCGCGTTCAGGGTCTGCAGGAGGGAGAGGCGTCAAGGGAAGACCTAGAGTCATCTCACAGAGGGCGAAAGAAGACCGAAGATAAACATCACACTGACTGACGGATTTTCATGAGTAACGGAGAGAACTAACAGGTCGAGTGTGAATGACGCAGGCAATAAAAGGCAATATGTTAACAAATTTAAGTTCTACCACTCACATCAATTTCCTGAGTCATTTGCTGGTTCTTGACGGCTTGTTCTTGCAAGTGGTTCAGTTCTTTCGCTCGTTCCTCGGCTTCGCTTGTGAGCTGCGGGGAAATACAAGGTTATTTTTCTTAATTTTTTCATAGCTGTTTCGATACACTCAATAACTGTTTCTACAGTTCTCTTTCCACTTAATATCCCTCTCATATCTTCTCTTATTCCTTCCTTTATGAGCCACTTGGATCAGATATATTTGGGGCATTTTGCTTATTCAGACAACAGCGTCTGAGTCAGCGCGGTCAGCCGACGCAGCGGATACAAGCAGCAACCCCTTCGTGTGGATATTACAGAAGCGGCATCAATACTTCTTCCATATATATATATATATATAATATATATATATATATATATATATATATATATATATATATATATATATATATATATATATATAATCTCTCCCCTTTATGACTTATGATTCTGTCGCTGAAATATCTTCAGAACTCCCAACACCTCAGGGATGGAATTATGAACACAAAGGAGAATCTAATCCTTCTAAGTGTCTTCATATATAATTCGCTTACGATCCCCTGTTCAATATCATTCCTTCTGTACATTTACAAGGAAAAGGAAAACACAAGGACTATCTTATGCATCCTAAGCGATGGGATAAGGCCCTCTCTCTCTCTCTCTCTCTCTCTCTCACTCTCTCCTCTCTCCCCTCTCTCCCCTCTCTCCCTTTCCCTCTCTCCCTCTCTCTCCCTCTCCACTTTCTCTCTTTCCCTCTCTCTCCCTCTCCCCCCTCTCTCTCTCCTCTTCCTCCCCAATCTCTCTCTCTCTCTCTCTCTCTCTCTCTCTCTCTCTCTCTCTCTCTCTCTCTCTCTCTCTCCTCTCTTCTCTCTCTCTCTCTCTCTCTCTCTCTCTCTCTCTCTCTTCTCTCTCTCTCTCTCTCTCTCTCCTCATCTCTCCCTCTTCCTCTCTTTCTCTCCCTCTCCCTCTCTTCGTCACCCCTCTCTCCTCTCACTCCTCTCTCCTTCTCCCCCTTTCTCCCTCCCCCTCTCTCTCCTCTCTCTTCTCTCCCTCTCTCTCCCTCTCTCTCTCTCTCTTCCCTCTCTCCCTCTCTCTCTCTCTCTCTCTCTCTCTCTCTCTCTCTCTCTCTCTCTCTCTCTCTCTCTCTCTCTCTCTCTCTCTCTCTCTCTCTCTCTCTCTCTCTCTCTCTCCATCTCCCTCTCCCTCTCTCCCTCTCTGCCTTCTCTCGCTCTCTCTCCCTCTCTCCTCTTCCTCTCTCTCCCTCTCCTCCCTCCCCCTCTCCCTCCCTCTCCCTCTCTCTCCCTCTCTCTCCCTCTCCTCTCTCTCTCCTCCTCTCTCCCTCTCTCCCTCCCCTCCCTCTCCTCTCTCCCTCTTCCTCCTTCCCTCCCCCTCCCCCTCTCCCTCTCTCCCCTTCTCTCTCTCCCTCCCCCTCCCCTTCCCCTTTCCCCCTCCCTCTCCCTCTTTCCCTCCCCCTCTCTCCCCCTCTCTCCTCTCCCCCTCTCTGTCTCCCTCTCTCCATCTCCCCCCTTCCCTCCCCTCCCCCTCCCTCTCTCCCCCTCCTCCCTCCCTCTCTCCCTCTCTCTCTCCAGGACCCTCGTCTTCCGCGACGCCGTGCCGCACTCAGCACGCCTTATTCAATAAGCTGCAGGCGGGTGAGTCCTTTTCGCAAGCCCTTCTGCAGCAGGGGCTAATATAACGACGGAGGAGATGGAGGATACCTTGCGAAAGAGAATTTATTACCTCGTTTTTTTTTTTTTTTTTTTTTTTTTTTTTTTTTTTTTTTTTTTTTTTTTTTTTTAGGGGAGGGGAGGGGGTGGATGTTGCGAGACGTTGATTCTGTCGTTTCTCTGTCTTTCTGTCTGTCTGTCTATCTGTCCATTTTTATGTTTGTTTCGATTTCTGTTTGTCTATCTGTCTGTTTGTTTACTTTTTTGTTTATTTGTTTGTTTGTTTGTTTCTGTCTATCTATCTTTCTATCTGTTTCTTTCTATTTATCTGTCTGTCTTTTTACTCCTCTGTCTATCTCTCTGTCTGTCTATTTGTTGACTTCTCTATCTATGTATCTGCCTGTGTATTTTCTACTCTGTCTATCCATCTGTCTATCTATCTGTTGATTTTTCTATCTATCTGTGTATTCTCTTCTTTATCTGTCTATCTATCTGACTTTCCTCTACTCTATCTATCTACCTATCTACCTGTGTATTCTCTACTCTATCTATCTATCTGTTGACTTTTCTATCTATCTGCTTGTGTATTCTCTTCTTTAACAATCTATCTATCTATCTATCTATCTACTTGTGTATTCTCTACTCTATCTATCTATCTATCTACCTGTGTATTTTCTACAGTATCTATCTATCTGTTGACTTTTCTATCCATGTATTCTCTACCCCATCTATCTATCTATAAACCTGTGTATTCTCTGCTCTACTCTATCTATCTACCTGTGTATTCTCTACTCTATCTATCTGTTGACTTTTCTATATATCTGCCTATGTATTCTCTACTCCATCTATCTATCTATATACTTGTGTATTCTCTGCTCTACTCTATCTATCTACCTGTGTATTCTCTACTCTATCTATCTATCTGTTGACTTTTCTATCTATCTACCTGTGTATTCTCTTCCCTATGCTTCTATGTTCTCGCTTCACGCCTGAGACTTTCTCAATTCTGCCTTTACCAATCAAATCAAATTCTTTTCAGGCATCTTTCACCTTTTCAAGAGTGCGTTACGTAAGGATTCTCAACTGTCTGTCTATGTATCCATCTTTTAACTATCTATCTGTCTATTTAGGTATCTATCTGCCCGCCTGTTTGTTTGTCTTTATATGTGTGGTGCGTTTGTGGCTCTGTCTATCTATCTATCTATATATCTATCTATTTCTCTCTCTCTCTCTCTCTCTCTCTCTCTCTCTCTCTCTCTCTCTCTCTATATATATATATATATATATATATATATATATATATATATATATATATATATATATATATATATATATATATACATATATATATATATATATATATATATATATATATATATTATATATATAATATATATATATATATTATTGTGCGTGTGTGTGTGTGTGTGTGTGTGTTGAGTGTGTGTGTGTGTTTGTTTTGTGTGTGTATTATGTATACACCGTTTCTACTTCACTATCTATGCTTTTATCTATCTACACTATATCTTTATCTACATTTGTATTTTCTACCTATTTGTCTACCTTTCGATCGATAGGTTTATAACTACTTATTTGTATAGCTATATCTATATAAGATATCTATAAAACTATAGCTATATCTATACATGAACATCTATATCTGTATCTATATCTCCATTTCTCTCTATCTATCTATCTATCTATCTATTTATCTATCTATGTGTCTCTCACATGCACACACATTTCTCTCTCTCTCTCTCTCTCTCTCTCTCTCTCTCTCTCTTCTCTCTCTCTCTCTCTCTCTCTCTCTCTCTCTCTCTCTCTCTCTCTCTCTCTCTCTCTCTCTCTCTCTCTCTCTCTCTCTCTCTCTCTCTCTCTCTCTCTCTCTCTCTCTCTCTCTCTCTCTCTCTCTCTCTCTCTCTTCTCTCATCTTTCTTCTCTTCTTTCTCTTCTTCTCTTTTCTCTCTTTCCTCTCTTTTTCTCTTTTTCTCTTTTTCTCTTTTTCTCTTTTTCTCTATCATCCCTTCTCTCTTCTCCCACCCTCTCCCCTCCTTCTCCCACTCACTTCCTTCTCCTTATACCCTAGCCCCCCCCCCCGCCCCTCCACCTCCACCTCCCTGGGAAACCACCGGCTTGCCGTGGCGTCTCTGGCTTGAGGGGTAATGTATTTTCCCCATTTTTCCCCTCTCTTCCCCTCACTTTTCCCCTCAAGCGGTACTTTATCTTCCCCTCGAAGGCGTCCCGTGATGTGTCCGTGAGTCGTCCTTTAAAGGTAGTTGTGAATCCCGTTGTTGGAGGGGTGAGGGAGAGGTGGAGTGGGAGGGAGGAGGAAGGAGGAGGAGGGGAGAAGGAGAAGGAGGTAGGAAGAGGGTGGAGGACGGAGTAGGAGAGGGAGGGGGAAGGGTAGAGAAAGAGGAGGAGGGTGGAGGATGGAAGGAAAGGTGGTGGAGGGAGGAGGAAGGGTAAAAAGGGAGGGGGAGGGTGGAGAAGAGTGAAGGTGAAATGAAGAAGGTGGAGGACAGAGGGACAGGTGGAGGAGGGAGGAGAAAGGGTAGAGAGGAGGAGGAGGGTGGAGGATGGAAGAGTGAGGAAATGAGGGTGGAGGAGGAGGATAGAGGAAGACGAATAGAGGGATGAAAAAGGGGTGGAGAAGGAGGATGGAGGAAGAGGAATAGAGGAAAGAGAAAGGGTGGAGCAGGGGGTGGAGAAGTACAATGGGGAGAGGTATAGGAGGGAGGAACAGATGGTGTAGATAGTGGAAGGAGAGGTATAGGAAGGAGGAGGAGGGGGTGGAGAAGGAAGGAGAAGGATAGGAAGGTGGGGAGGGAGGAAGAGAGGATGAGAAAAGTGAAGAGGGAGGAGAATGGAAGGAGAGGTTGAGGAGGGAAAGAGGAAGTGAGCGTGAAGAGGGAAGAGGTAGAGAGGGGTGCAGGAGGGAGGAGGATGGAGAAGAGTGAAGGAGGGAGAAGGATGGAGGGAGGTTGAGAGCGAAATAACTCTCTGGCAATATTCCGGTGTGTCTTCCAGATATTTTGATTTGAAAATATCATTGAGCAAGAGAGATGGGGAGAGAGAGAGAGAGAGAGAGAGAGGGAGAGAGTGAGAGAGAGAGAGAGAGAGAGAGGGAGGGAGAGAGAGAAAGAGAGAGAGAGAGAGAAAGAGAAAGATAGGAAAAGAAAGAAAAAATGATAGAAGCACTTACAAAATAACGCACTAAAAAAAAAAGAATCATCACAAGCATCTTACAGATTTTCCAAAAGCCCCAATAAAAAAATCATATCAACCAAAAAATAAAAAATAAAAAAATCAGACACTGTATCAAACAAAAACAAAATAAGTAAATAATTAAAGATCAGACATCATATCAATCAAATAGCTTTTAGTATATGAATAGATAAATGGATAAAAAAAAGTTTATTAGGAACTCACCTTCGTCTTCTGGGCTGTGAGTTCCTTGATCTTTTCCTCAAGGGATTTGGACTCCGACATGCAAGAGGACAGGTCATCGGATCTGATAATGAGAGCGATAATGAGGGTGATAATGATGATGGCGATAATGACATCTCTCTGTCTCTGTCTGTCTGCCTATGTCTCTCTGTCACTCTTTCTCTCTCTCTCTCTCTCTCTCTCTCTCTCTCTCTCTCTCTCTCTCTCTCTCTCTCTCTCTCTCTCTCTCTCTCTCTCTCTCTCTGTCTCTCTCTCTCTCTCTCTTCTCTCTCTCTCTCTTCTCTCTCTCTCTCTCTCTCTCTCTCTCTCTCTCTCTCTCTCTCTCTCTCTCTCTCTGTGTGTGTGTGTCTCTGTCTCTCTGTCACACTCTCTCTCTCTTCTCTCTCTCTCTCTCTCTCTCTCTCTCTCTCTCTCTCTCTCTCTCTCTCTCTCTCTCTCTCTCTCTCTCTCTCTCTCTCTCTCTCTCTCTCTCTCTCTCTCTCTCTCTCTCTCTCTCTCTCTCTCTCTCTCTCTCTCTCTCTCTCTCTCTCTCTCTCTCTCTCTCTCTCTCTCTCTCTCTCTCTCTCTCTCTCTCTCTCTCTCTCTCTCTCTCTCTCTCTCTCTCTCTCTCTCTCTGTCTCTCTGTCTCTCTGTCTCTCTGTCTCTCTCTCTCTCTCTCTATCCGTCTGTCTGTCTGTCTGTCTGTCTGTCTCTCTCTCTCTCTCTCTCTCTCTCTCTCTCTCTCTCTCTCTATATATATATATATATATATATATATATATATATATATATATATATATATATATATATATATATATATATATATATATTATATATATATATATATATATATATATATATATATATATATATATATGCATATATATATATATATATAATATATATATATATATATATATATTTCTCTCCCCCACTCTCCCTACCCACTCTCCCCCTAACCCCCCCCCAACCTCCCCCAACCTCTCCCTTACTTCTCGACGATGGACTTGAGTGACAGGGTGCGCTCCTCCTCCAAGGCGGCCCTCAGGGACTTGTTGCTGAGGGCGAGGAAGGTGACGGTGACGATCAGCACCATCATGGTCACGACGGCCAGAGGACCCGACATGTTGCGTCTGGGAGGGGGGGAGGAGGGGGAGGGGTCATTAGGGGGTGTTATTATCATTTGTGTTTTTATTAGCTGAAGTCTTAATATTGTTATTATTATTATCATTATGATTATCATTGTTATTATCATTATGATTATCATTGTTATTATCATTATTACTATTGTAATTATTGTTATTGTTATTATTATTGTTATTATTATTATTATTGTTATTATTATCATTATTATTATCATTATCATCATTATTACTATTATTTATTGTTATCATTATTATTAGTAGTAGTATCCTTACCATTGTTATTATTACTATGATTACTATTATTATCTTTGTTATTGTTAGTATTATCATTATTGTTATTTTTCTTATCATCATTATCATTACAATTTCGGTTATTATGATTGCTATTGTTGTCGTTATTATTGTTATTACTGTTATTTAAAACTATCATTATCATCATTGTTATCATCATTATTACCAATATCATTATTATCATTATCATTATCATTATTGTTATCATTACTCTTATTATTACGAAAAGTATCAGTAGTACTAGTTGTACCATTATTATCATTCCTATCGTTACCGTTATTATTGCTGTTGTTAGTGTTTTCATTATCATCATTAGGATTATCGCCATCATTATGATAATAACAACTAATATTATCATCATTAACATTACTATTATCATTATTATCATTACCATCGCTATTATTACCATTATCATCATTATCATTATTTATATTAGTATCATCATCATTACTTCTGTTATCATTGCTGTTATTGGTTTGGTTTTCATTTTGTTGTTATTATTAGTGTGTTATTATCATCATTATGACTACCATTACCATTACCATTAACATTATCAAAATTGATATCAAAATCATTATTATCAAAATCATCCTCACTATCTTCAATAACAAGATTATTATCATCATTATCTCCCATTTGTCTTCTTCTCTCTTCAACTTCTCACTGTGGAACTGAAAGAGAATTAGATGTAACTCGGGTCAGCGATGGCGGCTGATGATGAGACAATTAAGGAAGAATGAATAATCTGGAAACAGTAGAAGCAACAGCATTAGAAGTCCCTGCAGTAATATATACATCGTAAAAGATTATATGTCTCACTATCTTATTTTTCTTTTTCTTTTCTTTTCTTCCTTTTTTCTCTCTTTCTTTTTTTTTTTTTTTTTTTTGTCTTCGGGGTAATAGGCGGTAAGTTCTTTTTAGAGCCACGAAAAGGCGCGTGAACCTCCTTTGATGTAGTTCTTTGATGCTGTCGTGTAGTTTCTGATACACGCGTACAGGGAAAAGAAGCACGCTTTTATCTAGATCTCATTAACTCGAATTTTGTAACCCGTAACCATACGTGCATGTAATTGGTTCCAAGAAGGAAAGATGAGGAAGATAAAAACAAAATCTAATCTTAAAGAAAGCGCTGAAATATTATTCTTCTTTCTCTCTCTCCCTCCGCGGCGCACTGGAATCCTCGAGTCAATATCAGCGCCTCCGCCTGTGCGCCGAGATACCATCTTCTTTGCGTTATCTTTACGGCCCTGTTATTCTCGCCTGCCTTGTGGAGCGCGCCAGAGAGCTTTGCACAAGGCCGACCAACCACACATTTCCTCCCCGGGATGCGAACGCCACAACAGCGGCGGAGAGAACGAAAAGGAAGATCATTTCGCACAATTGCAGAAAATGCAGAGGTCAGCTCTAAGTCTCCGGGAAAGTGTAACGCGATCATGTACTCTCGGGAAAATAGGGTGTTGGTTGCGCCTCGGTACAAGAGCCTTTATGAACGCACCAAAGTGTATGTGTACGACCCGGGAAACAATGCACTGGCCGAGCTTTGTTCAGGGCCACTTCAGCATGCTTTGTGTAATACTCATCTTACAGGAGAGAACATGGGTCGTATTATTTTCTCCTACCCCGTGCCCATTACTTGATGAAGAAATATACCAGATATGCGCTATAAATGAAAGATATACTAATAATAAAACGGGGGATTTAGTAGAATAAGACAGTATAGCTGTGGACCTAAAAACAGATAATCCTACAAAGCTGGAATTCTTTTGGGCGTCGATAGGACCTATTTTCGCGTGAGATGCTGGCTTTGAGATCTGGCCACGCGAGACGGCCGGGATGACGCCCCTCCACGCCTGCCCCGCGTCCCGCCCTCGAGGCTTGTGGGTGGGCGGTTGCAGGTGTCTTGGGAAGTGTGGGTGTGTGTGTCTGTGCGTAGGTGTAGGTGTGTGTGCGGCCTGTCAATCTGCTAGCTGCATTTCTCTCTCTCTATCTCTCTATCTATCTCTCTAACTGTCTATCTTTCTTTCTTTTGCTATTCATTCATCTATATTTGTCTATATGTCCATCAATCAATTTATCAATCCGTTTGTCTACCAATGCATCATTTTCTGTCTATATATAAATAACACACACACACACACACACACACACATGTGTGTGTGTGTGTGTGTGTGTCTGTGGGTGGTGTGTTCGTTTGTGTGTGTGTGAATATGTATATGTTTTTTTGAATATATTATATATATATATAATATATATATATATATATATATATATATATATATATATATATACATTGTGTGTGTGTGTGTGTGTGTGTGTGTGTGTGTGGTGTGTGGTGTGGGTGGGTGGTGGGTGGGTGTGGGTGGGTGGGTGCGTGCGCGTGGTGAGAGTCTATGTGTTGTGTGTGTGTGTGTTGTGTGTGAATGTGTGTGTGTGTGTGTGTGTGTGGGTGGGTGGGTGGTGGTGTGTGTGTGTGAGAGTTTATGTGTGTGTGTGTGTGTGTGTGTGTGTGTGTGTGTGTGTGTGTGTGTGTATCACAATCAATTATCATATCTATATTCAGATGTTGGCTATATCTTTATCTATCAATATTCTATACATATCTCACTATCTGTTATGTACCTATTTATCTATATTCGTTTATCTACCTATTACTACATATACAAACAGATAGATAGACAGATGATAATTATTGATAGATTAATAGGTATATAGATAAATAGATAGATAGAAAAACATACAGGTAGC